AAAAAGCATGCAGTCATTTATTCCGCTTACAACTTCCTTATTTAAGCAGGAAACGGCCTACATTCGATCTATGTATGGCTAGCTTAAATCAGAATCCAGTCCTATATGTCAACTGAGGGTGTTGAAGGCTTATGCCAAAATAACCAGATGGACCGTAACTGAATCTGAGCTTGTCCTGCCAATTTGTTACAGATTATGGCTCTTCGAACAGATGGACTTCCATTTTATGGACAGTTTACAGTGACAGAAAATACATAATGAATAAATATCTCCATAGTGATAAATTAATGGCTCAGTCCATGTTAAAATGTGATATCTATGGTAGAATCATTTGCCCATTGGCTTTCTATATCTCCTGATTCGAACTGACCTCCATGCCATGGTTCCTGGCTGTGTTTCTGCCAAGTTTGATGCTTAATGGAAACGTGCAGAAACAAAGACTCAAACATACTACACTGAGAAAGAAGGACGATCTGTAATGTAACGCTCTCTGTTCAGCTTTCCTTTAAACAAAACATGTCATGATCAAAATACTGAAGCAACCATTGATGACCTACTTTTTGAGCCACAGACTTTGAAGTCAGTAGATCAGGATTATAGCCAGTGAACAAGCTTCAACCTGCTCAGAGATCAGCAGTGGCAACCCTCATATTTTCTTTCATGACAGGTTTCCTCTAAATTGTTCTGCTTTTGCAGGAGTAACCCTACTGGGAGGGAATCCCCCCTAAGGCTCCTTTCACTTGGGCGGTCCGATCGGGGTCTGCCTGTCGGTTTTTCAGGTGGACCCGATCAGATCCCCAATGTAAGTCTATGGTGTGCTGGACCACTTCAGAGAGCCTGCTGCTTCCATAAATAGCCACTGTCCTCTCTCATCCTCCCGCCTAGCCATGGAGCCTGTGACAGACTCTTGATATTATTTACCAGGCATAAAAAAATGAAGACTGGCAGAATATTTTTGGCACCCTAGGTTTAACTATGTCCTTTGTGTGGGAGGTATAGCTAGGATCTAAACTAGAAGCAATATTCTCTTGCAGTACGTTCACATTGGTCTTTCATGTATTGATGTCTCATTATATAATATATATATATTACCCTCTTTTGCTAAGACTCTTTAATTGTTTTCTTTGCAGGCTTTGGCCGTGGGTGGAGTGGGCTCCATAGTCCGGGTGCTTACTGCCAGGAAGACGGTTTGAATGTTCAGCTGGTTATGATCTATTGAAGAGCTGGTGCCAAGACCAAAACCCTGAACCGCAGCAGCCTTGCTGTGGCCGACCATCCCTCTCTCTCATTGCCATTATTTTTTCTTTCTCCCTCACCCCATTCCATTTTGATACACTTTTGAAGTCCTGCAGTACCTGTGCGAGTGTGCTGTGAGTGCAGTGCTTTGTTGATATGAGTGTTAAGTTATCAGTACATGCCCTCAATGAGCTGGGCTCTATTGAACAACCATCACCCTTTTTATTTGTACAGGTTGCAGTGCTGTCTGCTCCTCGGTGAATTTTATTACGCCTTATAACTTCATTCCAGTCAGGGCTAATCCCCCAGCTTGGCTCCTAAAGCCAGTTGAAACTCCCTTCCTTTACCTCCCTGCTGCTGCCACACCTCTACCCCTCTATTATTTGGATAGTTTTCTCAGGGGTGGCATTTTGCATTCTAAGGATTTTATATCATGGATCAGCATCCAGAGACATAGCTAGGGTCATCATTGCCGATCTGGCAGCACCTGGATTGCATCTAACTCCCTCAGGTCCTAGGTGTATAAAGGGATAACATATGCAGTCAAACTAATGACTCTGCTGCTGTAACATCTTGGGTCGCTTTCTTTAAACAACAAAATGAGGTCTCATCTACTTTAACTACACCATTCATACACACAGTGGAGGAGCCCTTTTAAGCACCAACTGGCATCATGCATTGATATGTCATAACTTGGTGGCATTGCTGGTTTGTAGTGAATTGTTCGGCTGGATAATATACATATATCCACTGCTTGCAAAATAGTCTCCTCTTTAGCATGTAGAGACATATGCCCTCTTTATAGAGAAAGTACTGTGTAAATAAAAGAAAAAACGGTTTGCGCTTACAGATTTTGGATTGATCAAGAAAAAAAAATATTAATAGGCTAGACTAATGTACCATTTGGCATATTTTTGACTCTCCAGCAGTTTCTTTCTAGGATACTTTACCCACAAGTGCTTGCTTAACCTCAACTGTGATGCTGAACAGCCATATGAAAAAGCATGACTGCTGAAGGATGTCAGTACCTGTAGCAGCTGTTATAGACCGCTATGTATTCTACAATGAAACCTCACATATTGGTGTTTTTGACAATCTGAAAGTACCCAAGTGCAGAGTTGGCTTTAGGGCCTCTGCCTCCATTCCAACAGGCTTATGGTTGTATAGGTTAGTGAAAATGCTGGGAAAGGAATCCATGTAGCAGATATAGTCATGCAGCTCCCCTTATATTCTGCAGCGCAGAGCATACAAATAAATGGACTTGCTGCAGTACTGTCATGGGTAGGTTAGTGTGATTACTAGATGGAAAGCACCTTGCAACCACATCCCCACAAGGGTTGAAGCCTTAATCCCATATTTGCTGCAGGGGCCTGTAATGTTGACACTTTCGCTGGGCCCTTTGCACTGATGTAATGATATTTTGCTTTTTTTTTTTTTTTTACAAATTAAACATTGATTTGGATATTTGTGTTCACGTGTTTTCATTGCATATACAGGTGAAACTCGAATAATTAGAATATCGTGCAAAGTTCATTTATTTCACTATTGCAACTTAAAAGGTGAAACTAATATATGAGATAGATTCATTACATGCAAAGCAAGATAGTTCAAGCCGTGATTTGTCATCATTGTGATGATTATGGCTTACAGCTCATGAAAACCCCAAGAACCCCAAATCCACAACCTCAAAAAAGTAGATTATTACATGCAATCAATAAAACAAGGATTGTACATAGAACAACATCGGACCTCTGAAAAGTACAAGCATGCATATGTACTCAGTACTTGGTTTGGGCCCCTTTTGCAGCACTTACTGCAATTACTTTTGCACGATATTCTAATTATTCGAGTTTCACCTGTATACAGGATGTTATGCATCTTCCTTGTAGAGAAAGTATAGAGGATTATCGTAGCAAACTTCCATGTTTCAAATTTGCACTCAAAAGCTGCTTCTGTGCAGTTAAAGTCCTATACAATGAAAATAAGTAAGAAGGCTGGCTATTGGCCAGCCTGAATTTGTGGGAGGAGGCTGGGCTGGGCTGTAAATACTATTTCTATTTCTGCAGTTCTATTTCTCATCCTGGGATCATTTTCTGGTATATAAACCCCTTTTTTTTTTTTTTACAAACACTTGAGTATGGTCCCTTTTAGGTTGCCAAGGCACACCTCAGGTCGTGGTATGTAGGGGTTTTACGCATGGTCGGGTCCAGACTCTGACCATAAATATAATATACTGTCAGGCTTACTGCACTTTGCAGTTTAATAGGAACCAATTAGACCCAGTGCACTTTATAATGTAACCGACTTGGTCAGACACGTCCCCTCTCCTTGCAAGTTTGTGTAAGGATACTTGTGCTGAGGGGTGTGGTTGTTGTTAAGCTCTGCCAGCACAGACCACTGCCATGTGAGCATTGGAACCATTTTTACTTGGATAAAGTGATATTATATAAAGACATTTCTTAGAAAAAATTGTTGCGGATCATAACCTGCAATGAGACTACATTTGGCCTTTAAAGAGATACTGTCAACTTACCCAATAAAATGACTGTTTTTGGAAATGTCCCCATCAAGTTAAACTCGCCACATCATGTAACAGTCCTCGGGGTTGGCAATTGGCTACTAGATCCAAGCACTGTCATTAGTAGGTCATCACATTCTCCCTCATACCTGGAAGCACGGTTGTTTTGTTTTTCCCCAAGCAGTGGCAGGTGCAGCAAGGGAGTGATGGTAAGGTGATAATGTCTCTTTATATATGCAGATTTTGACTAATGCTTAAAGCGGCTCTTAAAATAACAACAAACATACCTTTAGAAATGTTCAGTAATGACAATCTACAAACGCATACTTCTAGATACTTGCCGCCTTGTATTCTTTGCACTCCTTAATTCTCTTTTCTTCCCCAGTCTTATGACAGTAGCCATGTTTACTAAGGGCAGATTACTAGCTCTCCTATTACTGCCTGGATTTCTGGCACATGTGCATGGTCACATGTCCTAATCATCTCAGGGGAGGAAAATGCCTTTCTCTGAGATCTCATGAGATTTCCCAGCAATGCTGTGCTGATGACAAGGCAATCCCAGTGTGCATTGCTTTGGCAAACTGAAGCCATTTTGCCCTTTTGAAGCAGGAAGTGAATGCTTTGCAAGTGTAAGTATTTTATAATCACAGCATTTTACACCTGACATGTCTATGTTATTATTAATCATCATACATAGAGAGATGCATTGGTAGAATTTGATTTTTGAGTAAAGGTCCGCTTGAAAGAAAACTCAGAAAAAGGCACCAACTTGGCAAATAGTTTCCCCTACCAAGGGTTTGTCATTTCTACTGCCCGTTTAGTAGTTTATACATCTCTGGCACCATGACCACACAGGCGGGTGACACGTGTTTTCTTAGCAAGGCAGCTTCCTTTGTCTCATCTCCACCCCCAGCCTGTTCATTGGACATTGAGTCAGTATCTTTTTCTGATTAGCAAGGCGGTGATGTGGGAAGTAGTAGAGAGGTGTTCCTGGCTGTTTAATGCACCATGGAATTCTAAATAATAAAAGTGGCTGGACAAAGTTACAAATTGTTTGGTATGTGAAACAAATGTATCCCTACTGTGGGTTGAGCCCCCCCCCCCGGAAACTTATACACATTGTTTCTAAATCTTATCTGCACTTAATATCATCAAAAACTCCATCAGCATTGTTTGTTCAATTACAAAAAAAACATAATAGGCAGTGCACATAATGTGTAGAAAGTAAATTGTGAATCAGAATAAAACATGAAACAATAGTCCATATTTCTATGTGCAATCTTGAAGAATCAATAAATCCACTTATATGTATCACTCAGTACTCTGGTGCAATCCCACCACCTACTAGACAGGAGCCCCATCACAAAGTACCCATTGAAGGTAAATCAAAAAGCACTTCATAATCTCCATTCAATGGAATCAAACTTGCTTCCCTCTATGGTCTTAAATTTGCCGCTGACAAATCAGCATGTACCAGCTTATAAATGTTCATTGCTCAGGAAAGAGAAACGAGGCTTCTTATAATGTAATCGTTTTATTCTACCAATGTATCTCCAAGCCCCAAATGATGTGTTTTGTCACATGGACTTCATCAGAGGTGACAAAACAAGCTTTTCTGATGGCCATGAAATGTAGCAAAATGATGACAGAACTTAGTGTGAACAAGGCTCTACTGTGTCTCAGTGTTCTTATTAGACGTGCGATTCGTTTAGTTCCGAATCGAAATTCGGACAAAATTTGGGATATTCGGATGTATCCGAATTACAGATATAACAAATGCAAAGGAATCCGAATTTCCGATTCCGAAATTTGTTAGCGGTAGTCTGTTCGAAATTTCGTTGCAGCAAAATGACATTTGAGGGAAAATAAAAAAAAATGTCCCCCAAAGTCACTTTGCTGCCACGCGCGAACTAAACAGAAACAAACTTTCATACAGACTACCGCCAACGAATTCCGGCCGAATCCCGAAACGAATTGACTTTCGGACCCAAATCCCAAAAAACGAAATAACGCAAAATCTGAATCGAAACAAAACTCATTTTTTGCTGGTGCACATGTCTAGTTCTTATATCTTGCAGCCTTCCACCGCCTGAATAAAAACAGTAACTGAAAGCTATAAATCATGCAATGTGTAAAAGACCTTATAACCTGACTTCCTAGGTGAGGGTAACATCACTGGGCCTTCTTGCAAGTTTTGGAATCCTTAGATTTCCAAGTATCCTGTGGTGAGCCCCATTGATCTCACCTACAGGAAGCTGCCATAAGTCGGGGTTGTAAAGAGTATTTTTTTGCATTCTTACTTTGATGGTAATTTTGTTACATTTGCTCGTTTGATTTGAATGGCGGTTTCTACAAGGTAACCAGACCTTGCATTTTTATTTTAAGGTCCACTTTCATGCATGGTTTGCTTTAAACAGATACACCAAGTATACTAAAAAAAAAAAATTTTTCCAGATACTTATGGTGGTGATTTATAAATTTGCATGGCATTCCCACCACTATATGGAGCCAAAGAG